CTGATACACGGGAGCCGCATATTTTCAATCGACCGGAGAAGTGTTCTAACGACGGGAACCGCGCGCTATCGTCTCATCCCCTTCATTTGCATCGTCTTTAGATGGTTTTGGTCGGGGATTCTCGTACACTTCTGACGTTGTCTATGATCGGATAACAACACATGTTACAACGACGGGAAGCGGGTGGAAGCGACCTCCGTCCACTAGGCATTCTGTATTGTGTTCACTGTTTACTGATAGGCTTGTTCGCGTTCAAAATATACTAAATTATGTATCAAATTGAGTTTTTCTCATTATGTATCATTGCGAAATTTTCTGAAAATGGGCTCAAACAACGGGACCCGCATAAATGCGAACGCGCTTTCGAACCCCGTTGTGGCGGCTCACGCGCGCCAAACGAACCCCGTCGCGAAAAGGTTAGTAACTGAGTCTAGATAAGGATAAAAAATTATAAGACAATACTGAAGAATTGGCAAGACGATAGTTTCACACAGTTTCTTTCTTAGGGAAAAATTCAAAATATTTTTATTTACAAAAAGGAGTTTTAGTGACAGATATGATTTTTTAACTAAATTATTTACCTGGCTCGTAAACTTGAAGTCAATATCCATTATCAGTCCAAGATTCTTAGCTTCAGTAACCAGTGGTATGAGAATGTTGTCAATATGAAGAATAATTTCATTTATAATTATTTCGTAAATATGCTTCGCGCAAAACAGCATAGCTAATTATTTCTTAGGATTCAGTTTCAGAGCATGTTTTTCACAATAATTGTTTAGGAGTTCCAAGTCACTGTTCAGCCTTTGAACTGCAACAGGAATATTTTCTATATCAAAACTGTATTTTATTTGGGTATCATCTGCATAAGATTGCATTTCACAAAACTCAATATTTCTATATATATCGGCAGTGTATACGAGAAAAAGTAGTGGTCCCAATATGGAACCCTGTGGTTTCCCTGACCTAACATGACCTGGAGAAGATATGCCTTTACATGTACGAACTTTCTGTGTTCGATCGGCAAGATGGGAGGAAAAGAAGTCGACTGCGATATTGTCCAAACCGTAATACTTTAATTTTGAACAAAGTAACTTATGGTCGACAGTGTCGAATGCTTTCGAAAAATCCAATAGCACTAGCACTGTCGCCTTTTTTCTGTCAATGCACTGGGAGAAAACTTGAGTTATCATAATTGGAAATCTGATAACCGTTATTACGATATCTGCAATAAATAGGGGACAGATGTGTTCATTTGCTACCATAGATGAAGTGAATTTTCAGGTGACTTGTAGTTATGACAGCTTATTCAATTTGCAAACTTGTATAAAAACACCGCTGCTGAATAACTACTACTTGTTCTAGTGTCTATGATAACACAGAATGTCGAATAGGAATTATTCCCATAAAATGTTGCAGTAACTCTCCACTCTACAGTGGTTATCAGACTATCGACATAAAACAGCATGTTTTCATTACTGGCACAACCATCTTGAGGTAACGCAGTAATACGTCTCATTTTATTATAGTTATCTGATATCTGCATGAAACCTGACATTTTGACATGCTATTGTAATATAGCTCATTTTCAACAGTTATCCCAATATTTTTCTGCTCTAGTATATTCATCAAACAGTGGTAATAAGGTTATCTAATCAAAGAAAAAACAAAATACACAAAGTCGGTCGACCACAAATTATATTACAATTGCTAGTGTGACTAGTTTCGGCTAAACAGCCATCTTCAGACAAAAATTAAATAGAGTACCTGTAAGAAATGAAATTACAGACGAACAATAAGTTTGCTGAGGAAAAAACATACCTATGCCATGTGGTAATTACAAATTCATCGAAAAAATTTTTAAGCGGTTATATGAAAGTATAAATATAATCAGTCCGGTAAGGGGGTGATTAAATTTTTATAGCGGCTGAACAGCCAAAAGAACCTTATAATCATGAGGTTCAACATTGGCACGAAAAAATTTGAAGATATTTAAATTCACTCAACTGAGTTTCATCTTGAATGGCTATTGAAAGACAGAAATCCAACAATCGCCGAGGTAAGCAAATGACAATGACAGCATGACAAGACTGAATGACAGTGACAATTATACAAACTAAATGACATGACAAAATCATCATAAGGTACAGAATACTATTTGGCAAAATAACAAATAATTGCAAAAGAAACAATGGGTTAATTAAATAATCTCCTTGTAACAAAATTATGAGAAGTACGTGGTAAGGTTGAAGACCAAAAGGAAGAAGAAGAATTGTCAAGTGTAGTAAAAGTAATAAAGGCAGAAGAAGAAGAAGCACCACCAAGAGTAAACAGGTCCGGCTTAAGTACCTGAAAACGGGAAAATTGATCATGAGAATTTGAGTGTGCGAAAAATGTGGTTTCTTTCAAAATTAGTTTGGTCGTTGAGGCAATTAATATTTGGATTATTGATACATTTTTGAATTTCCAAGATTTCTAAAAGGTTTAGCCGTTTACCTTTATTGCAAATGTGAATAATATCCATATTGGATTTGACATCAAAAGTGTGATTAGAATCAATAATATGATTAGCAAAGGAAGAGGAAGGGTCATGAATATCTGATCTGAGAAATTTGTGGACAATTCTGCAATGTTCCGATGCGCGGGTTTCAAAACTTCTACCAGTTTGGCCTATATAAGATGAATTGCAATCATTACGATTTAATCTGTAAACCCCTGACTTTTTTGTCTGAGAAATTTTATCTTTAGAATTAACAAGTAGGTGTTTGAGATTGGAAGAAGTTTTATAGGATATGTTAATATTGAAGTTTTTGAAAATTTTTGAAATTTGGACTGAATAATTACCGAAAAAATGTAAAGATCTGAAAACTGGGGGTTCTAAAGACTGATACAAAGTAACATTAAAAGTTAGCCTAAACCTTGTATAAAATTTGAAATAAATCTTCATGATTTGTTCTAAGGGGAAATGGTTATTGATAGCGATTTGTTTAATAATGTTAATCTCCTTATTGAATGCTGTATCTGATAGCGGTAATGAAAAAACTCTATGGAAAAAACAGTTAAATGAAGCAAATTTGTGTGAAGGTGAGTGGTTGGAATTAAATGGAATCACTGTATCAGTGGATGTAGGTTTTCTGTAGATTTCAAAATCAAAAGTGTGAGTTTCAAGGTTTTTTGATATGAGTAAGTCAAGGAAAGGCAGAGCACCGTTAACTTCCAATTCACTAGTAAAAGTAATATTGGGATGAAGGGAGTTAATGTAATTCAGAAAATTGGAGACATCATGAGAAAAACCGTCAAAAAGTAGCAAACAGTCATCCACATACCTGTAATAAAAGATTAATTTTGCATTGTAATTAGGATTATTCAAAAATTGGTTTTCTAAGTTGTTCATGAAGATTTCTGCTAATAAGGGGGAGAGGTTACTACCCATTGCTAGGCCAGTAGTTTGTCTTCATCCCAATATTACTTTTACTAGTGAATTGGAAGTTAACGGTGCTCTGCCTTTCCTTGACTTACTCATATCAAAAAACCTTGAAACTCACACTTTTGATTTTGAAATCTACAGAAAACCTACATCCACTGATACAGCCCAGATAGCACACATTTGCCTAAGGTTATCCTCAACAAGTCGCTAATAGCCTAGAGAGGATATCCTATTTTCCATATCCTAACAATGTCATTAGGCTGAAGATTTGCGCTATAATGGTTCCAGATTAGTCTCTGCAGCAACATCCTGAGGATGTCCAGGATTTCAAGCCAATGGATGTATTTTAGTTAATATTTTGAGGCATGTTATTAGTTTTGCAAAAATTGAGACATTTCTTTGTCTAATTGTTTATTTGGAATGTGATCCTGATGAATGAGAAATATCAATACCTATACCAACCCTCATAGTTCAAATTTTCAAATCCATTTTGTGAATATTGAGGAAAGTATGAAATCTATGTGTGGTTTTGAGTGATAATATTATTGTGGTTCTGAAATATAATACTTCATTTGCTCCTTCCTGTGTGCAATTAATGGTGCAAGACCTTTGGTGCTAGCATGTTATGTTATATGTACCTGATCTGATGAGATGTTTAGAAAAAGATAGAGGATCCACACTAGAGCCCCTTCTTCCTAAAGTGCTTGAATGCTAGTTTGTGATATTATCATTATTGTCTTCACTGCATCCTGCTTAATAGTGTGGTTTATCTATGCATGAGGTTTATTCCAATTATTCCATCATTCGATCAAACAATATATCATAATAATATTAGGTACGAATATAACAATAACAGTTCTAATAATAGATCTATTATGATTTCTGTGATTGCATATTGCATCCAGCATAAAAGGTAATGTTTAACTTGACGCTTCGCGGCTATATAAACAAACTGAATAAAATTCAATACGCGATAGAAAATAAGCGGAGTTCTTATGAAATCTGTAAAAGCAACCTGGTTACTTTGTTTTCATTGGTTCTCAATTGTTTTTTGTTTGGGCTCATTGGTCATGTCATCAAAACAAACCGCTCAGAAGTGTTCAAGTTGTTGTCGTCAGGTGGGGCGACATGTTATTTTCTTTCGCAAATTGTTTGAGTCTGAAGGACTCGATGCATAAAATGTAATAGTTTCTGGATAAAATGTAGGAGAGCAACTCGAATTACTCATTGAAATTACTTCCATGCGAATGTGTCACATTTTAGATTTTACACCATTTGTTTTTCAATTATGCGTTTTCATTATGAAACCGATCCATTTTTATATCGTGTCACAAGTCGGAGACCTGCAGGCGTTTCCATCTGACATCAAAATCATAAAGTCGTACAAAAAGTTTTGTACCAACGCCATTAATTATTGTGAGAAATGTTCCCAAATAAATACCTGGCTAGTAAATACCTAACCTAAATAATTGGTCTATATCACTGCTTTCGTAGATCTAGACACATTCATAAATTGTCGTCCGTCATTTATAATGTCCTTTGTCAATTGTCAATTGTCGTGCGTGGTTAGGGTGCGCGGTAGCCTGGTGGCGTCGTTTTCTCATTTGCCTCCAATGACTCCATTGTTTCTCCTTCGAGTCCTTTGTGTGGTTTGAAATGCTTGTATAGATGCATCATAAATCATAGTTTTCCTATTTGATTTTTGGCATTTTACATTTTAAACAATTCGAAAATCGTGTGGTCGTGTGATCAGTGGTGTGGTGAACTCAAGTAAAGGTGAATAGTAACCCAACAAGGTAAATATACTTTATATTATATTTCTGAAAATTTCAAAATGGAACGGGCTCCGCCTGCTAAAAAGGCGCTTTTGATGAACGTTAGTCGAGCAATGAATAGATTGAACGAACCGTGTTCGAGTAGTAGTGAGAGCACTAGTGATATTTCCAAGAATATTGATGATGATGAGCTTTCTTCATTAGCAAGTTCCCCGCCTCGTTCCCCGCCTTCTGAATCATCTGAATTTGATCTTGATCCTGATATGGTCAACTCGGAAAGTGAGTTAACCCAGGAATCAGCAATGTTCTTCGAGATCGAAAACCTACCAGTAATTAGAAATACTCAGATTCAAAGTAATCATGAGATTAATGACCAGCTTTGTCAGTGGTCTATCACCAATAATATTCCGCATTCTGCACTTCATGGACTTTTAAAAATTTTGAAGCCCCATTTACCAAGTTTGCCATCAGATCCCCGTACATTGCTTTCAACTCCAAGACATACAATTCCTAAGAAAGATATTGCACCTGGTGAATATCATCACCTGGGTTTAGAGAAGTGTCTTCGTTATTTGGTGAAGATGAGTAAAGTACAAGAGTCAGTATGTGAAATTTTAGTCAATGTCGATGGACTGCCACTCAGTAAGAGTTCCAGTAGTGAGCTTTATCCTATTCTAGTATCTTTGCATAAGTATCCTAATATGGTAGGTTTGGTTGGCTTATATCATGGATACAAGAAGCCAGAGGATCCCAATTTATTCTTGGAAGATTTTGTTGAAGAAGTTTCTCGCTTAGTTAACACTGGATTTTTTATGAATAATGTTCAATATTCTGTAAAACTCAAAGGTTTTGTATGTGATGCTCCAGCAAAAGCATTTATAAAGAATATTAAGTACCATACTGGCTCATTTTCATGCACAAAGTGTGAACAAGAGGGGGAATTTATTAATAATAGGATGTGTTTTCCTGATATATGTTCTATAGTACGAACAGATGATTCTTTCTTAACCAGAAGAAATGAAGAACATCACAGGGGAAATAGTATATTGGAGAACATTCCTGGATTTGGTATGATAAGTGGATTCCCCTTGGACTATATGCATCTGGTTTGTTTGGGTGTTGTGAAAAAACTTATAGCAGGATTATGGTGCAATGGTCCCCCTCCACATAAGTTATCATCACATCAAGTACAACAATTATCAGAATCATTGGTTTCTCAGTCCAAAAATATTCCTATGGAGTTTTCTAGAAGGCCTAGGAGTGTCAATGAATGTAAACGCTGGAAAGCCACAGAATTTCGTCAATTTTTGTTTTATACTGGTCCTGTTGTCCTCAAAGCCCACTTGCCTTATGACAATTATCTGAATTTTTTGTCTTTACACATAGCACTATCTATCCTAGCAAATTCCAAGTCTTCTGTCCAAAAAATTGATTATGCTCACTCTTTGTTAATATATTTTGTACAAACGTTCATGATTCTTTATGGTAGACATCTAGTATCACACAATATACATAATTTAATTCATCTCACAAGTGATGTCAAACTGTTTGGAAATTTGGAATCATTTGGTGCTTTTCAATTTGAGAATTTCATGCAGGTATTTCTAAAATACACAAGAAAACCAGATAATCCAATCTCTCAGATTGTAAAGCGTTTTCAAGAAACTATGAATGCCAATGAAAATGTACTTACATCTAAAATAATAGTTCATGGGCCTGCAAAGGAACACTCTGCAGGTCCTCTTACTGAACATTGTAATTCTCCACAATACAGTGAGTACAGATTTCCATCATTTTGTATAACAATCACACATCCCAATAATTGTTTGGGAATGAAAGATGGATCTATTATTGAAGTCAGAAATATAGCAACGAAAAATGATAGTCTAATGGTGATTGGGCAGAAATACAAAAATTGTCGAGATTTCTATGTGCAACCATGTCCCTCATCTTATGTAGGAATATTTGAAATTTCAGATAAGGGTAAACTTGAGTGTTGGCCATTGGAAGATGTATCTGTAAAATATGTTAAATTGAGTTCATCTACTTCTCATGTTGTTATACCCCTTTTACACAGTGAACAATAATTTTATTATATATACAGGATGGTCCACTCTATAGTAGCAAAATATCGACAATTGATAGAAGACCTTAATTTGAGAAAAAAAGTTTTCATAAACATTGGTCATTGGACACTTCGTTTTCGGGATACAGGACGTTCAAGTTGAAAAAAAAAAAGTTGATTTTCCTTTAATTACTAGAAAACCGCTCAACAAAAATACAAGATATTCTGGTGGCCTACTAGGTATCTGTGAGCAAATATATTCATAGTAATTTCCAACTTATATGAATATCAGTGACTTCGTTAGGACAATATCAATGTTTTTATCACGTATTAATGAGACATTTTCAAATTTCAATATAAAATATAGAATGTCCAGTTAATAGAATAAATGCCTTCTTGTTATAACTTGATGAAACACATCGGTTCTGAGTGAAAACGAATATATCAAATTCAATCACAATTGTTGATGTAGGTGTTGAATAGCTCATTCAAGACAACTGCTCTGATTACTGGATAACCAGAAGTGATATAATTAACATACATAAGTTTTGCCATAAAAATAACTCATACAAGATGTTTATAAAAATAATTGTAAGTTCATTCTCAATTTCAACGCTGTCTATTTTGAAAACTAAGCTTCTTATGACTTATATTAATAGGAACTTTAGTTCTTCAAATAAGATCTTTTGATTGTCAAAGTTTTGCTACTATAAAGTGGACCACCCTGTATAAATATATATATATATATATAAATTCAAAACAAAACTCCATAGGGTGTTTTTTAACTATGGTACAAAACTCTATGAGGTGGTTCGTTTGGTCGTTTCAAGAAAAAAGTTCCTATGAACATATGTCCGGAGTTGCTTAGGGCGTTTGAGTTGAAAAAATGTATTTTTATAAAATATGAATATCCTTGAACCGATTTGGTTGAAATTTGAATTATATTGAGAACAAATAGTACGTCACTGACTTTTTTGTTGTTTTTCATTTTTTTTCAGATTAACCAACTAAATATTCAGCCATTTGGTCTCCTGTGTTTTCTTCATATCTAGTTTCTTTTTGGAGATGAAAAATTGATTTTTTTTCTTATATCTGAAAAACTTCTGGCCCATTTGATTCAAACTTTGCTCCTTTTATTTCGAGTTTGTAATTAAATTTGACTCAATCAATTCATTTCAGGGGTAGTTTCTAAACTTCAACATCCTGTATCTCTGAAGCAAAGCAACTTCGGACATATGATCATAGGAACTTTATTTCTCAAAACGGCCTAACAAATCACCCTCTGGAGTTTTGTAACGTAGTTAGGAAACACCCTGTATTGTATTTGCCTTCAATGTGGCACCATTTTGGGAGTAGAATAGTGTATTATAATAATATATAGTGTTACAATTGAACTTTTGAAGCAATTTTTATCAGGAATATCAGGATTATTGATGAATGGAAATGGCATAATTGACTAATTTTTTGGGTTAAGAGTGTATGTTAGCTAAGTGCATATAATGTCCAAAGATTTGATTTGATATTGCCTCACCTCTCATTTTAGGAAATTAGGTGCAATATAAATATATGTATATAAAAGGACAATCATGTGGACTGTTGTGATATTCATTGAAGAAAATTCTATTGAAACCATTCCTCTGAAGTGGCTCTTAGGGGGTGATGGAAATTTGGCCTATTGGCCCTCAGTGAAGGGTCTGAAGTTGAACTCTATGATAGTAAATTGTGCTGAACCGACTTCAAACTGGGAGATATTTGAAATCAGATTTCCCAATAATACTAAGAAGATATATGGTAAGATACTTATCTTTCATTCTCATTACACACAGAAAATAATTATACAATTACAAATTACTTGAATTTTATCAATCATATCCTGAATAACTTTATACTGTGAATAACACCTTGTAGATAATTTTCTCAAAGCCAGAAAGGCATGTAATAGGAAGACTGAAGAGTCAGATGTGCTTTCTGAAGGAGATTATTCTTTGAAGAGATTGAGAAAACAAAAAAAAATGGAAAGTAGTGACGAGGAAGAAGATTGTTTTCTAAGTCGCCTACCAAATCCACCAGCGTTGCCTAACAATTGTAAGTAAACAATATCGATGGCCTAGAATCAATACCTCGTAAGTGAAAATGTCAAAAGTTTTCAGTATGGACAAAAAACTTCGTATTTACGAGTTATTGCATTCAAGAATCGACCACGAGGTATTGTCACGTGACGAATTCATTGCTTTTCATTGGTCTGGCGTGTAAGAGCTATTGTCAGTAGGTTGGAGGGAACAATTACAAGCGGATAATACCAAAACCCACTTTTGTGAAAAATGTGGATTTACGAGGTATTGATTCTAGGCCATCGATATTCTATGGAATGTTTCGTGGACATTCTATTTGACTAGACTGTAACTTTCAGCTTTATTTTCACCAGTGGCTACAAAACCAGTGTTGCAACTAAAATCATCAAGCACTGATGAAAATACTTTGTTTGAGGATATTAATTCTCCATCATCTTCCAATAGCACTCCCAGAGTAGATATAATTGGTATGTGTTCATATAAATTTTTATTATAAATAAACCATGAAATTGGCAATCATTTTAATAATCATTTTTTTTACTATCTTTCAGCTTTTGAGCCAGCTTTTGAGCCACAATTTAGCTCTTGCTCAGGGCCTGTGAATCATTCAAATAGAGATTTAGAAACTCCATTTCCATCAACATCAAATAGTATTGAAATTATGGGTATGTATCCACTATTTCTGTGTTGAACGAAATTTTCAATAGCACATTCATTTGATTTCAGATTTTATGTCACATGTGGATGCTACAGATGCTATGGAAATGAGTAAAGAAAATTCAGAATCAACACCAAAAAGTAAGACCACTACATCCAAGAGCAAAGTGCATGGAACACCTGGTGAGTTTGGTTCATCTTTTTCTTCAATTTTCACAATATTCAATGAAAAATTGTTGATATATGAAATGATCTATACTTAATCTAATTTAATTTTTTTCAAAATGATCATATAAACGATCATAGAAGTGTTTCTTTCTAGACTCAAATAATTTGAAACCATACCTGTCATTATATAATTGCCTACTGGTTTGCATGATATATGGCCTTTATACCTTCAATAATAAATTGTCCATTCCTGAATTTCAAGTGTAATTCCCAGGACAATTGTGATTTTTCCACTTTGATATCAACATGAATACAGAGTGTTTCTTAAGTACATGTAAAAAATCCAGGAGCATGTTGCTGACTTCAAAATATAAGAAGAAAAGTTCATATAAACACATGTCCGCAAGTTATTCATTTCTCAGATACGAAGTGTCAAAGTTTGATTCTTATTTTTGTTTTTTGTGAATAAATTCCAAAATAATCATGATATTCGATACCAGATACCAAATTTCACTGGAATATCAGGGTTATTTGGAATTTGTACACAAAAAAAACAGAAATAAGAATCAAACTTTGACACTGTGTATCCCAGAAACAAATAACTTGTGGACATGTGTTAAATACGAACTTTTTTTTTCTAATTTGAAGTCAGCGATATGCTCCTGAATTTTTTAGACGTACTTAAGAAACACCAAGTATATGTCTTGACAGAAAAAATTATTTTAGATAACCGGATACTTCGACAATTAGTTTTGTTGAATCACAAAGTGGACTTGCTATCAACAGATGTGACAAAAATACTGGATAAAATGACCACCGATGATACATTGGTACTAGAAGACACTGAAATAGAGAATTATTTCCCAGTAAAAAATGATGAGGAGCTCAATAATTTTGAGCTTTTTTTATCTGAAGATAGAAATCACAATAAATTTGTAAGATATACTTTATTTTGACGTTCAAACTGCATAATGGGAGCTAACATTTTCAGTCTCGCCAGTTGGCGCTACTAAAACTTGAGGTCAATGTCAAAGTCAAAAATTCCGAAATTTTGCCAGATAGCCCTAAAGGCTGTGGCCTGTTGTAAAGAAAATATCCAAAAATAATGCAATAAAATATTTGAACAAATAGAAATCATCAAGTTATGGAAAGACTTGAGCAGACTTACGTTTTTTCACTTTCAATGTGTAACTTCAAGACCAATTCTTTCATTGATGGAGAAGAAGATATTGTAGGAAGAGGCCAAATGACACGATAATATGGAGTATATTTATCAGTTCCCTCATGTTTCAGTGGCGCGATTTGGTGGACCAAAAATAATGTTAGCCCTCCTTATTGCTACAAATATTTTCTATATATTTCAGATCCAGTATGTCACCAAACTCGGAGGTTCAACTTTACCCGAAGCTGTGAGAAGAACAATGGAAAGAGTCATTAGTGATGATTTAATTCAACAGTACAGTTGGCTAGGTCAAAAACATAAAAAAATATTTGGAATTTTAAGAATGGCTCAAGGAATGAAAGGTAAATGAATTTTATGATTTCAACATAATTATGAATTGATTTAAAAAATATTCAGATGGCATCAAAAGGAATAAGATACTGCAGGAATCAGTAACTGAAGCAGGTATTGAATGCTGCATGAGGAATTGGATGCGTCATGCTAAAGATCGAATCAATAAAAGATCAAAGAAAGCTGCTGTAATTAGGTGAGCTGCAGTACTGATATTCAATAGAAAAATAACATAAAAAGGCCTATTATACAGTGTGACCAAGATAAGGTTGCACAGCATGGGGATCTCAGAAACAGGAGGACATACGAATTTGGTTATATGGGAGAAAAGTTGAGCATTCAGAGGGTCATTCCAACGACTATAAAAAAAATTCGAAATTTCTTCTAGTTTTTGAATAGTTTTTAGTTTTTGAAAAAACAAAGTTGATGATTTTATGAATACAAAACGTCGCGTAAAGTATTTATAGTTTTTTGTATCTCTAATAATATCAGAGAAAAAGAAATAGATAATCCAAGATTCCACTCTTTTTGATAACTGAAAAACTAAAGACAATTTTAAAAATTTTCGAAGGCCATTGGAATGACCCTCTGAATGCGCAACATTTCTCCCATTTAACCAAATTCGTATCTTCTTTCATTTCCGAGATCCACATGCTGTGCAACAATATCTTGGGGACACTGTATATTCATTATGTAAAATACATTTCATTTTTGTTCCAGGTGAATCCTCATCACAGCAAGATTAATTTTCATTTTGTACATTTTTCGATATTTTTTGTTCCTGAATTCATGTTTATTTTGTATTTTGTATTTCTTATCATTTTTTTGTACCTGAACACATTTTTATTTTTTAATTTTTGTACCTGCATAAATTTTAATTTTTCATTATGTATTTCTTATTATTTTCTTGTAACTGAATCTATTTCTAATTTGTATTTTGTATTTTTTATTCATCACCTGAATACATTTTTATTTTGTATTTTTATACCTGGATAAATTTTAATTTGTTATTTTCTTATTATACAGGGTTGGGCATATGTGTGAAAACACCAAATTTCTGACTAATCCAGAAGTAATTAATTTTTTCTTCTCTTGGGACTTTTTTTTTCTACTCGGTGGCCAATGTTGATTTTTGTAGCTATCATATTGTCGTGAATATGACGCAATCAGCAGTTTTCAGCAAAATTCAACATTGGCCCCTGAGTAGAACAGAAAAAAATTGAAGTAGTCTTGAAGGAAGAAAAGATGAGTTACTTCTGGATTATTAAAAAATTAATTGTTTTCACACATATGCTCAACCCTGTACATATATTATGAACTCATGATGTATTATTTTGTACCTGATATATTTTAAGTCACTTGTTACTGTTTCATATTACAATACATGTTATATTACTGATCTGTCTTGCCTTATTTATACAGGGTGAATCACTAGTGTGTGCTCTTTCGATATATATAAGCCAAACCGTCAGATATAGTGAAAAATTCAAGTACGAAAGTAATAGGGTTTCATGAGAACTATCACCTAAAATTGTTTTCATGTCTATAGGGTGTTCGGATTCCAAGATATCGGCTGATGATTGGTTTTTTGAATGGGACACCCTGTACATTATTGCATTTTTAGGTTCTCCCTGAGGAGCTGATTTCATCGATCACACTTGGGGTCTAGCGGAAATGATTACAGAGATATAGGGTGTTTGAATACAAGTTTTTCCAATTTCAGTATTTTTTGTGTCAAAACTATTCATTATTGGTCAAAACGGCATAGATTTCCTTACATTATCTTTTGATTTACTCCTGACATTTAATCGGTACAAATAGAAGGGTGGTTCAAGATTTAGAATTCTGATCACCTTGTATCTGTTCCAATGAATATCAGTAGATAGCAAATCAAATGTTGAGAGACAGGAACATGTGAGCCGTTTTGACCAATAATAAATAGTTTCGACTTCGACACAACAAATCCTACATTTGAACAATCTCGATTTTGAACACCCTATATATTTCTGTTATAATTCCCGCTAGACCTCAAGTGTGATACATTGATGAAATCAGCTCTTCAGGGAGAAAAAATGCAAAAATATACAGGGTTTTCCATTCAAAAAATCAATCGTCAGTCGATATCTTGGGATTCGAACATCCTATATAGAGATATGAAAACAATTATTTTAGGTTCTAGTTCTCATGAAACCCTATATTTACTTGCATTTTTTCTATATATCTGACGGTTTGGCTAATATCGAAAGAGAACACACTAGTGATTCACCCTGTATACGAATAATATTCTCCCATAAATCTTGAATCTCCTTGAAAAATCATGAAAAAATGTCCAGGAGACATTTTCGAATACGGCCTCAAGTTGTTACTATGACGTCCTGAGGTTGTCCCAAAAGATTTTATAGGGATGTTCTGAGACGTTATTAGAATGTAGAGAATGGTAACAGGAGGACGTCTTAAGGATGTCCTCAGGATCGCTCTCGACGTCCTGAGGACATAATTGTGAACGCCTCAGAAGGGCCTCAAAAGGTATTTGTGCTATCTGGGAGTGATTCCATTTAATTCCAACCACCCACCTTCACACAAATTTGCTTCATTTAACTGTTTTTTCCATAGAGTTTTTTCATTACCGCTATCAGATACAGCATTCAATAAGGAGATTAACATTATTAAACGAATCGCTATCAATAACCATTTCCCCTTAGAACAAATCATGAAGATTTATTTCAAATTTTATACAAGGTTTAGGCTAACTTTTAATGTTACTTTGTATCAGTCTTTAGAACCCCCAGTTTTCAGATCTTTACATTTTTTCGGTAATTATTCAGTCCAAATTTCAAAAATTTTCAAAAACTTCAATATTAACATATCCTATAAAACTTCTTCCAATCTCAAACACCTACTTGTTAATTCTAAAGATAAAATTTCTCAGACAAAAAAGTCAGGGGTTTACAGATTAAATTGTAATGATTGCAATTCATCTTATATAGGCCAAACTGGTAGAAGTTTTGAAACCCGCGCATCGGAACATTGCAGAATTGTCCACAAATTTCTCAGATCAGATATTCATGACCCTTCCTCTTCCTTTGCTAATCATATTATTGATTCTAATCACACTTTTGATGTCAAATCCAATATGGATATTATTCACATTTGCAATAAAGGTAAACGGCTAAACCTTTTAGAAATCTTGGAAATTCAAAAATGTATCAATAATCCAAATATTAATTGCCTCAACGACCAAACTAATTTTGAAAGAAACCACATTTTTCGCACACTCAAATTCTCATGATCAATTTTCCCGTTTTCAGGTACTTAAGCCGGACCTGTTTACTCTTGGTGGTGCTTCTTCTTCTTCTGCCTTTATTACTTTTACTACACTTGACAATTCTTCTTCTTCCTTTTGGTCTTCAACCTTACCACGTACTTCTCATAATTTTGTTACAAGGAGATTATTTAATTAACCCATTGTTTCTTTTGCAATTATTTGTTATTTTGCCAAATAGTATTCTGTACCTTATGATGATTTTGTCATGTCATTTAGTTTGTATAATTGTCACTGTCATTCAGTCTTGTCATGCTGTCATTGTCATTTGCTTACCTCGGCGATTGTTGGATTTCTGTCTTTCAATAGCCATTCAAGATGAAACTCAGTTGAGTGAATTTAAATATCTTCAAATTTTTTCGTGCCAATGTTGAACCTCATGATTATAAGGTTCTTTTGGCTGTTCAGCCGCTATAAAAATTTAATCACCCCCTTACCGGACTGATTATATTTATACTTTCATATAACCGCTTAAAAATTTTTTCGATGAATTTGTAATTACCACATGGCATAGGTATGTTTTTTCCTCAGCAAACTTATTGTTCGTCTGTAATTTCATTTCTTACAGGTACTCTATTTAATTTTTGTCTGAAGATGGCTGTTTAGCCGAAACTAGTCACACTAGCAATTGTAATATAATTTGTGGTCGACCGACTTTGTGTATTTTGTTTTTTCTTTGAAAAAATCTGGACCACTTTGAGAAGGATGGATGGTTTCCATGACTTATCTAATCAACATTATGCATTATGAAACCGTGCTTCGAATTACTGCAATGAAGATAAATATCCCATCCACACTATCACTTTTCATGATCCAAAGTTATTTCTTTTGAAAAAAACAAAAACATACGTTTAGTCTCTGAATTGAAATATTTGGGTATCTGTGAAAGTTTTCTGACATTTCTCATTGATTTTTTCGGAGAAATATCATCTATATGCATTACTGACGAATTTATTAAGAAATGAGAAGTTGAATACTTATATTTACCCTTCCTTCGGAGTTATGATGAGAATTGTCAATAAAACTTCCCTCACAGAAACCCAGATATTTTGATTCAGAATCTCATCGATCATTTTGTTTTTGAAATAAACCAATTTTAGGCCGTGAAAAGTGGGCATGGAGAATACTTTTTTCATTGCAATAATCCACAAATCTGTTCACAGCCAGCACTAAAACAAAACTTTGCTACATCACAGACATTCACCTACAAGACACGGCTCTATCGATTCGGACGATCGAAACCATTGAACAATAATTGAACACGGGCACCCATGACCGAGAACAGCAGTGAAATGAACGCGATCTGTATCTTTGTCAGCCCCAATATATACTAATGAAACACTAGAGCGAAATGAGCCGAATTACGATTGTCGAATTATTGCCTAATAACCGTCATACATGTGAATTGCTAGAGTTATTCGTCAACGTACAATGCTAGAAACCCAAACAGCTATGATTATTGGGACAAACATTATCTGAATTCACCAATGAGCATAATTCACAAAACGAGCTATGTCAATAAAAAATCTAAATAGACTGGAATTTATAAAATTCTCATAATGTCATAACACACCTGCGTTATGATGGTAGCAAATAATGTCCATTCAAGGGTATTACAAATGATTTAAGAAATCGATTTTTATAATCACAGAATGGAGAGAATACTGTTGTAATAATAAAATGATCAGGAATAGGAGATTTCCTTATAATGGTTATTACAATCAGAGCTGGTAGATATTTTTAATATCCAGTTTCTCTCAGTGTGGCTGTTATAATATCATCATTTATTTTTATTAATGCACTTGTGGTACTATGTCCACGTCTAAAACCTGATTGATGTGATGGAATAATATTGTTTTGTGATACATAATTTTGTAATTGACTATTTACGAATTTTTCCAAAATTTTGCTTAAAACTGGCAACAAACTTATTGCTCGTAAATCGCAATAATCTGATGGATTATGGTTCTTAGCTATTGGGTTTATAATTGCATTCTTCCACCCAGATGGGAAATAACCAATCTCCAGGCAGCAGCCAATAATATGAGTTATATAGTCCAATATATTGCAGTCGAGCACAGCTTAATCATATATAATGATATGTTATCAATACCACTGGCGTTAGATTTGATGCTATTGATGATTTCTAATATTTCCATTTGACTGGGAAGACGAAAACTGAATTTCATATTTGGTTTACATGTATTACTATTGTAAAAATTAACTAAACCTTGATCGGCTTGTACTGTATTGAAAGAGGATAAGAATGTATTGTTTATTATTGATGGGTCAGTTAGATTATCAGGAAGCCCGGTATTCGGTTGTCTTTGAATTTTCATTTTTTTAAGAACTTTCCACATGTCAGATTTATTGTTTTGTTGTAAAAACTTCAAATATCCTGCTTTCTCTCTACGTATTGCAGCAAGCGTATATATAGTTGCGTAAATGTTTATATTGCTGCCAGTTTTCTTCGGTTTTTTCCCTTCTATATTTGGCAAGAGCTTTGTCTCTTTCACTCATGATAATTTTGACAGTATCTGTCAACCAAGGCGCATGAGCCTTATTCATACGAACAGTGCGTATCGGTGCATGCCTGTTAAATAATTGAGTAACGTTTAAAGTCAAAAAATCAACTTTTTCCTGAATATTTGGGTTATACAGGATTTCATACCAAGGTATTTCAAGCATGTCGGCTTCGAAGGAATTCTGATCGAAATTCCTA